TTTATTTACCTAAATCTAAAGCTTTATCGTACTCTTCTCTCAAGTAGACAAGCAAATCTTCGAGGCCTATACCAGCTTTTGCTGACACGAAAAATGTTGGATATTCTTGAAAAAGGAGCCGGTTTTTGTTGTTGTCCTGCTGAAATGCTGGGTATGTTTTACGAAAGCCATAAAATTATTGTATCAGCAGAAATTCTACTTACCGATGGATCAAGATCAATCTTATTGAATACTATGGCTGTAGGTCGAGACGACAGCCCCTCTTTGTACTCCTCTAATTCTACTCTTAGTAGATCGAACTGTTCTCGGAAATCGCCAAGCGTTACGTCAAGCACGAAGAACAGGCATCTGAAATTGAGGAAAATTATTTTTATAAATAAGAGGTAAATTTGGTAACCTGCATCTTTCGATGTGCTTCAAAAAAGAAACTCCTAGTCCTCGATCTTCATGTGCTCCTTCAATAAGACCGGGGATATCAGCTACTGAAATTTTTCACTCAAAATCCAAACATTAAAGTTCTCTTTCAGCAAAATACCTGCTATCTGTTCATAGTCCTCGTACAAAACCATTCCAACATGAGGTTTTAGCGTAGTGAATGGATAAGAAGCTACTTTTGGTTTTGCTCTTGAGATTGCTCGAAGCAAAGATCTAATATGCGCTTTAGTGTTGAATTCACGAGGACTTGGGGAACTTACGATTTTCCCGCATTTGGAAAACCTATCAAACCCGCCGTGGCCATTACCCGCATTTCCACATCGTAAACTATCTGAATTTAGCTTTATTTTTAACTGCAGAAATGCCGCAGAAGTAAAAACACTGACTTCTTCGCCGCGACCGCCAACTTCCGCTTTGAACGGCTTCCGAATCTCATTGGAAACATAAAATTGATTACCATGCCCACCAGCGCCTCCTCGAGCACCAAGAAAGACCTATAGCCTGGTAAAGGTTTGAGATGCCAAAATTTTAGCCGGGTAATTCTTACCTCACCTTCTTTCGCTAACTCATATACAACTCTGCCATCGTTTTTGAAAAGCGTCCCAACAGGTACTGGTATCTGAATGGAAGCTATTACGTACTTTTAAACTGATAAGGAAATTTTGTTCTTACTTCTAAGTGCTCTGCAGATTTTCCATGGCATGATTTTGATCCTCCAAATTCACCGCGTTCTGCTCGTTCTACTGATCGTAAATGTGATAAATCTTTGGTCTTCGTGGAAGCTAAAAAGGGCTGTATGTGCAGAATGCAACTGAGTTTCGTGGGCTAGAAGAATTATTTTCGAAATTATTGGGGACAACTTCAAAATGATTTTTTGAGAGCATTTTTGCGTCAAAAAAACCTCACCCTTGAATAAGACGTGACCGCCGTTCCCTCCATCACCACCATCCGGTCCACCGAATGGATTACGGTAGCCTCTGAGAAAAATTTCGATGAAATTTCGTCATGTCGAAAACGGATGTAGGAAACCATAAACTGTTTGATTTATGGGTACGCCATATACATCGTTGTAACGACTGATCTTTTAATTTGTAACCTGTACTTATTAACAACATCATATAAATAAAAAACGGACACACCTGAAGAAAGACACCATACCATCGCCTCCATTACCAGCAATACACTTAACACGACGATAGTCAACGAATGTACCAGCCTACAAGGTCATCAGTACTGAATCATTCAATGAGTTGTGCAACTTTTACCTCTCCCAACGACTTTGGCTTTTTCGGAAGCAATGGCCGTTTTGAAATGGACGCAGATACTGCCGAAACACTCTGACATAACGCTTGTACGATCAATCGCGGTTTGAGCATCAAATCTTATTGCTGGAAAGGATATAAATTCTTGAGCCTTTGCGCATACAGGCTTCGACTAGTTGTTAACACCTGTGCCTGGTAAAACGGACCCGTATCATATTTTGGTGCCTTGTGTAGAGATCATCAAGTCACCGTAGCTCTCCCACCTACCACCTCATGTGCTAAGTATCGTTGATTCGTTGACCGCACGGACTGCTCAGACGCGC